GTGCTGGAGCTCGGACAGGCTGAGATTACCACCTACCTGCCGGAAGAGCGACTTCAAGCGCTTTCTCATGGAGGCCGTACAATATGGGAACAGGTGGCAGTTCTCCACAATCAAACTCTGCCAGCAGGGGACTTCCGTGTGATATTTGTGGATTTGCGACCGCTGGCCTGTTTTCCACAATGGGTCAGAACCCCGGAGATCTTCGACCCGCAGGCATACATTGATGATCTGCAAATTCCTGGGCTTGCGGACTGGGTGCTTACTGTCGTTGGAGGGGAGCCGGTGAGACAGGGCAAGCTAAGAGTTCGGCACAGGGAAGTGCTTACTTTCTCGCTGCAGCGGCCCTCAGAGAGTGAGGAGACCTCTGAGGAAGATGGCGAATCCGAGGACGAGGGGGACGGCGATGATAACTCTACAGAGGACATGTTCCACTCTGGCAGTAGTACGCCGCCTCCCCTTCCGGGGCCAGGAGAGCCTCCGAGGGGACCACCTCCACCACGGCCCATCAACAGAAGCAGATCTCCCAGAAGAAACATTGGCCCCCGGGGAGACGAGACGTCGAGTACCAGGAGGCTTCCCTTGGCTCAGCCCTTGGCTTTATGCGACTTGGTGGGCCCACCCTCTTTCGACATGACTCGGGTGGACCTGCAGCTCCCTCATGACCCGATCGAGGTGGCAGCCCTTTTCGCCCCGTGGCCCTGGGAGCAAACTATGTTCGACCTCGACAGCCTGAACTTCAAGCCCCCCACGAAGGAGGCGATGAAGGGCTTGGTCCCATGGACTGAACTGCTGCCTTTGATCGAGCAACATGGCCTGGAAACGGAGCTACATGCCTATACAGATGGATCCTGGAGGGCAAAACAGGGTTTGGGTGGCTATGCTGTTGTCCTGCTATGGGTCACGGCGAAGGCCAGTGCGATTTACAATGTGCTGGGAGACCAAGTACAAGGAAACCCGGGTTCGCCTTGGTCCTTCACAGCACCACCGGCACTGATGAACGAACAAATAGCTATAGCTGTCACTCTCCTTTGGCTGCTCAGCGATTCCGCCTACAGCAGCTTCAGCAAGATTCTGTTGCACTTTGATTGCTATGCTGCCGGGTGGTCGGCACAGGGGAGCTGGTCGCCGGTCAATGCCTTTTCCAAGCAGATTCGTGGTTTGGAGCGCTTCCTGCAGAGACTCGTCCGGGTACCCATGCGCTTCATCCACACGAAAGCCCATGTTGGACACCCCTACAACGAGATGGCGGATGTGTGTGTGCCAATGAGGCGGCTACCGCTACAGCGACCTTTCACAAGCCGCCCCCGGATGTGTGCCGAATTATTCAAGAAGGCGATCTTTCATGGTTGTCGGTGGCCTTCGACTACGGAGTGCTCCCGGTGCAGGCGGGCCGATTCTTGAGTTGGTCTGCGAATGGACCGATTGGAACCTCACACCTCCTACCGGAGCAGCTCATACCGACAACTGTCCGTGGTGGACTGGGACGACAGTCTGCAATTGAGTTCAAGGTCCTGACCCTGAATGCGCAGAGCCTCAATGGTAAGTGCCGATACTATGAGGACCAGCTCGATGCATTGGGTATAAACCTGGCCCTTTTCCAAGAGGTCATGGGCGGAGCTGGTGCCTGCTCCAGCAGGAGATTCCTCAGACTTTCAACGGACTCTGCTAAGCATTGGGGAGTCGCGCTGTGGGTGAGCAAAAAGCGCGGTATACTGTCAAGCAATGGCTACCCGCAACATGTGCAGGAGGAAGACATCCAAGTGGTTTTTGAATCACCGCGGCTGCTTATACTCTCGATCAATGCTGCACCCTGCAAGATTATTGCCGTATCCGGGCATTGCCCACACAACCTCCGCAAGGACGAGGCAAAGCAGTTCCACAACGACCTCTCGTACCACCTCGGGCGGATCAAGGAGACTGGCATCGTGGTGGTCGGCATTGACCTGAATGGAAGGGTGCCTACTGGCATCGAGGGAGTCACGGGTGGCTTGGAACATGGCGATCCGGACGACAACGGTCGGGCCTTTGTGGTGACAGCCGAGTTGGCAGGAATCTGGCTCCCGGCCACCTACCAGGAATACTGCAATGGAACTTCGACCACCTACAGGCAGGCCAATGGGGCGGAACACCGGATCGACTACATCGGCATAGGGGGCTGCCTGAAAGTCACTGAGATTTCAAGCTGGGTGGAGCAAGCCTTTGACACAGCGAATGTCAACGATGATCACTCGGCGGTTGTCCTCGATGTCACGGGTTCCATTGGCGGAACTGGCCTCCAAAAGAGACTGCATCGCCCTAGGTACGACACTGGGAAGATGCTGACCGAGGAGGGCAAGGCCATCATTGAAAAGGAGCTGGCCCAGTACAGCCCGCCTCTGTGGGAGATACATCCTGATGATCATTGCCAACACCTCCAGGACTTTATGCATGACATCATGAAAAAGCACTTCAGCTTGGAGGTTGGGAGACCCAAGGCCAGCTACATACCGCACGAAGTTTGGAAACTTCGAGAGGGCAAGCTCGGGCTCAAGAGACGTACCCGGCATCGGAAGGACCTCAGTGAGGCATTACTCTCGAGAGCGTTCCTACAATGGAAGACGAGGGAGGACTACGGTGTTCTGGTGTTGCT